CAGGAAGTTACCTCAAGTTTCTGAGTCTAGGTTAGCCTTTTAGGCATGCCATACTGCATCCCTTATTGCGAAGCATATTTAAATCCTGCTTTTTAGAATTGACGGCACTTTTGCGGAACGAAGTGGCTGGGTCTGTGATGATCCGTTGAACATGTCACTTTGCCTTTCAACAAACTCTGTCCAAATGTGGTCAAGGGGGACTGTTGTTCGAGAAATCACAAGCAGATGCCATTAGAAATTCTTTTAGGACGTGGTAGCGTGATTGTACGCATAAATCTCCAATTGTTTAGATGGATATTTTGCATAAAAATCACAACTAAACCTTATGGTTGTTGAGACCTAATGGATACTCCAACAAAAATTTCTTGAACCTGTGCTCTTCATTTGTGAGCGCAATGTCCAACATAGCTGGCTATACTACTTGGATTAAAAGAATCAGTGTATCGACTAGTGTAGTGTTATGACAGAGACACTAGTTACAAGCACTGATAGGGTTACAGGAATGTAAGGCTAGGATAGAGAAACAATTTCGTCGACAATTCAGTCGGTTGTACTGCGAGGGCTAGTTTATACTGATAAACCCTCCAAGAATTGTTTTATGGGTTTTACATGGTGGCAGCTAGTGTGGTTGAGTTATGCTTGGCAGCATTCCTTTTCGGATTTGCGTCACTTTGGCCATCTACAGGGCGCCTGCAACCACAGAAGGACCGTAGGTGGCTTGTGCTGCACCACCCACAGCTCCAACCACACACCCATATCCAGTTTAAACCCGAAGGAATAAGACCGGGAGGCATGTGGATGGGAGCCGCGTTTCATCAGCAGAGACGGCCCACGCTCCTCAAGAGGCAAACACAAGCATGCTGTACTTGGGAATCAAGCGTACACAAGGCGGTGGTTGGACCGTAGTCCGCTCCATACTGGGTGCATAGAACCACTCTTTGAGCTTAACACGGGCACATGGACTGTGCACCCCGTTCCCTCCAGCAACGATCAACTGTCTCCTGGAGCTAGTATGGACGAAGTAGTGGGTACTAGACAGGTATGCACCTTATCTTTGAATTATATAGGTCCTGATACACCATTATGAGATCGCTGTGTAGACGCCGATAACGTCCGCTATGCAATTTTGGTTAGCAGCCTGGGTGGACAGGGAAGGTGGACAATCCTTTGACGTTGTTCATCATGCTGTGTTCTGCAGCCTCGAGTGCAGTGAGGTGGGGCTTTAGCCAGGTCTGACACGCTTAAATCACGTATTATGCGTGTGGCTTCACATAGGTGCCAAGCAATTTCGGCACTACTGTGGATTCAAACTTCCCGAACCCCCTACGTAGGAGGTCGGAGTGCTGAGTTGCTTTTGTTGATGTGTGTTCAGTCTGCCTTCAACAGTCGAGGTCAGTTCGCACGAGTATGACCAGATTGCACTCACGATAAGCCCGCTTTAGAATTACTGGCCCTAACCGGTAGTTGTGGGTGCTCTGATGGCGTATGCACGGCAATTTGCATTTGGCAGGCGGAAACTGTAGCATGTTCCCAATGGAACATCCGTGAGCTTCATCAAGTTAACTTTACAAGCCTGTGCGACCCTTCATTGTAGTGATAGCATACCATTTATTCAGATTACCAGCGAAAAATAGAAACTTTGGAAATAATTTCTTAGCAACCTCAATTATGCAGACAGGAACAGGTGTGGCTCGAGTACCCAGCCTTGAGGTAGACCGAAGTAGACTTCGCTTTAGTCGAATAGAGTGCGGCAAAGCATTATTTGCTGATGACGTTAAAGCAACAATTTGAATATCGAACTCAGACGTGATTGTCGACTCCAGAAATCTGTAACTGGTCCCGAACAACAGCCAGACTTGAAGAATCGAATGATGGTCTCGTGCTTCCACGTCGCGTGGACCTGCATCTGGTGTGGACATTATTGAAATAATATGACAAACGGTTCAGCTAAACTCATAGCACCCTTATAATGCCTCTGGGCGAATGCCGTCTATACTAGGGGATCCATACCTGCGCAACTACATTAGCCGACTGCAGTACATCCATGGTGGCGAAAGACATGTTGTTACGCTCTGATGGCGGTATGCTCATTGTTGGAAAGATGTAAGATGATTGTACACTTTGAAAGGCACGGCTACATTGTTGTCCAAGAATGTTGGCGTCTTCTTATACCGTTTTTACTAACCCGCAGACTGTGCCGAGTAGGAATTCCGCGCTTAACTCTACGAAGTTTGTTTACGTCTCTGTAGAGTAGTCTTGGGTTAGAGAAATGTCTTATCACAGCGCCTTGTTGGTACTTCACTCAATTTGCTAGCACCAGTTTGACACAGTTGTTTCTTTGTATTGCGTAAACACGCCAGGTATCCGCGCTCAGGGAGGCAAGACAATTATTCAATGTCATGCTTTAACGAATCCTGCTCCTTAGGAACAAGTTCATCTGTTTCAAGCGGTGGATGTTAGTTTCTGAGACGCTGAATTGGTTGACACGTTCGACACACGCCACTTCAGGGGATCATTCAGCTAGCAAACAACAGCTTGTTGCGCTGGTGTCGTCAGACGGGTTAGCCGAGTTCGTCACGACGTGAGTTTCTTTGGTGCTTTACAAGGAACAATAAATTTATTTGAGTTAAGAAGCGTTGCTTTGCAAGTCCCGTTGGATAATTGGTACGGATATCGACATAATAAGACTAATAAGGTTAAAACTGTTCGTAATTTAATTATGAAAATAAGGACTCATCGTTTGCTCCGTCGTTGTCCTGCAATGTGCAGCACCCACAGTTAACATCAAATGATTCCATGGTAAACTCCTAGTGCAGGATAAAGAGATAGTGCTGTGACAAAGTGTAAGTTGATGAGTTCATCAACCCACCGACTTTTTAAATACTGTTAGTGTCGATGCAGAGACGACCGATTCTGGGAGAGCATTCAAGGGTGACAGACGCGAATGGAAACGAAATTTCTGCGGCTCGCCAGACGGCTATACTGTACAGCGAGTTTCGATGAGTGACCGCTCAGAGTCGCAGTAAAGGGCGACACACATGATGTGGGTCTAGCAGAATCAAGTATGCCATAATCAGGTCGCCTCGTAGTCTGCGATATCTTCCACTGAATACCCCCAATGGTTGCAGCCTCTCAAGGTATGAAAGATTGCGCGTTCCAATTACTTTCTTAGATGCCCGACGCTGTGGCTACTCCAATGTGTTAGGCTCGTGTTTCAGCCATGGATGCCATGCTTGAATTGCGTATTCGACATGGGGGCGAACATACACACTGAGCATTTGTCGAAATATGGAGCTGTTTATTTGTCCAAACGCCCGCTGCAACAGCCTTACACGTTGGTGTGTAGTTGGTTTCCGTGAGATATTCTGCGTATCACGCGCAGCAGAACAGTAGTATCGCATGAACTCTACTGGCCAGAGGAGTATATGTTGCTGCTATGTCAATCATGAGTTCTTCGTTGGTGAACAAGAAGTCTAAGATAACCGGGTTGTTTCCTGCGTTGCAACGCGTTGATGAAGCGACATGGTTGCACAGCGGTAAACCAGCAATTAGTTCTTGTAATTTCACCCTGAATGGTTCACACCCAGCGGCCGGTGTTTTAAACCGTAAAGGCTGAAGTTCTGTACCAGGAAAATGTGCTTATGAGACAGTGCCAGTAGGCTTTTTATAACGGAGGCTCATAATTTAACTATTTCTATGGTGGACATTGGTGGGCGGTTTAGCATGACCACTAAACAGATGTCGCCCTTGTTTGGGTGGAGACTAATATTGTAGGGTGAACGAGGCGCAAGGGGGGCAGAGCGGGTATTGCCAAAAAGTTGCGCAATAATAGATATAGGTCGCTTTCCCTTCCCATGCTTCACTGCGTTTGAGGATTTTTATGATAGGCTATTCCATGTGCTGTACGAGCTTGAGGCTTGGGATAATCCCTCCATGTTTTTTTCCCGTATCTCTGTTCGGCTATATCCCATTCTGGTCAGCCAGAAGTCGTTTGAGAGCTCGCGCTTTGCTTTCCCGTGGCTGCACTACTCGGCCCGCATTCAGTTCTGTAAGCTGCGCAAACGACTCATTGCTCTGATTCACTGCTTTCCCGACAAATACCTCCTCAGTTGTTCTGATCCCAAGCTCGTTACCAGTCACACGTGATCCGCTGTCGGCTCCATCCTCAAGGCTCGCACTGCGTTGTCGCTTCTCATCCACTGCGGCCGTTGGTAATTCCCTGCTATCCCGTTTTGGTTGTCTTTCTGTTTCCTTAGTAATCGTTGGCTTCTGCTTCCCTACAATACAACGTGTAGATCGGAAGGGCACTAACGATTTACGCTGTCTTCCTTAGTAACTGGTTTGCTATAGAAAAGGTGACATACCAGGCAGCAAGATTTAGGCTTCTGTAAGCAGGTAGTTCAGTTTTGTCTTGCTTGACAAGATGATGTCCCAACACACTGAGATTTGACGAGATCAAACCTCGGCCGATTTCGGAGGTTTTATTCGTTAGCATACAAACGTAGAGAGGGTGGGATGCCAGAAGCGCGTCTGAATATGCAAACTTTTCCTGCAAATTTAGACCAACCCCTGCTGATAATCGTTTTCTGGATGGATTACTGGCCTAGCGCCCGGGACCAGGGACGGTGCACAGTGCTTCCGATAGCTAATCACAGAAGCGACTTGTGACTGACAACTCGTTTTTTTCTTCGGACAGCTGAGCAGTCGCATTGCGTTTCGGTTCTGAAGTGCAAACTGTTGGACGCGACAATATTTCACTGGTTATGTGACTGCTTAGCTTCAGAGTTATCTCCGGTGACAGTTTGGTGCGCAACTTGCGCCAACTTCCGAGCATCCTTTTTACAATGTGTTCGGAGTAAAGCGTAGCTTTCGACGCTTGCTCTACGCTGATGAAAATGGCTTGGCAACAAACGCCGAACTTCGATCTTATTGAACCCGCTGGTAGTGGCCCTACCAGTGGGCCGAACATTCCATGTACTGCTTGCAATCAACTGACCTGATCAACCGGATAGCCTGATAAACTCTGAATGCTTGATAAACTTGTGGGTTGCTTTGTGATCCAAATTTGAGCAGTCACAAAACAGAAGCGTCTAGAAGCCATGGCATGAGGTGGTTTCTATGATGGATGCGTTAGCAAGGCGTTAGAGCACTAATTTTATGGTTGACCTGAATGGATAGCACTAAATTTGTCGCTTACCTTATTTGGTTCGAAAGGTTTTGCACGATGACAGGGCTGATTCGGCTCTCCAATATGGTCTTACTCGCGAAAGGTGGTTGAATTTAGACTCTCACAGGCCCGCAGTGAATTGGGAGCGGTTGAGAGATTCAGTTTGATTCTATCCGGATCTTGCCCGGCCAACATAACAATTGCGCGCACTCACAAGTACAATTTAGGAAAGCTCTTCTAACAGCGGGCTTCAACGTCAATCACTCCGCGCCACAATTGGGTGGGATAGCAGTCCAGAACATGCAACAGACCTCGTAACATAGGCATTTATACAAGATAAAAGTGATTTCGCACGATAAAATACTACAAATCACTGCACTACACACATTTCGTGGGTTCTGTGTCAGAGTGCAAACGTTCCCGTATAGAAATGAAATAGTCAAACAAAGTTAGTACTACACATAGGACTGAGGTATTTCAACTTCATAAATTTCAGCTAACATGTGAAGTATGTTGTTATCGAAACAGTGCAAGCAATGGGACATCTTGGTCACTTACCAATGCTGAAAGAGATGAGACTCATATAGTATGGAAGTAATCTAAGGGCATTTTTAGAATACTGTAGCGTTACGTTCAACACTCCACGTAAATTTGACTAGAAGGCCATAGAAAATGTTCAGCGTGCCTTCACCTACCATATATATTTTGATCCTCCACACTCGCACCTTATAAAGACAAATGTAATGAATTAAAATTGGAACGTTTAAGGTTGCTTAAATTACATTTAAATCTTGCTTTTCTGCTCAACGTTGCGTGGCACAACGTGCATAGTGAACACTGCGCCATGCAATTTCAGTTGAAAATAAGATATGAAATCCGCGACACAGAATGCTTGCTAGTAGTACTTCCATTCAAGACCACAGTCAGAGAGAACCCTATCCTAAAATGTTCAGCCTGATATGGGATAAACTACCTACTACGATGTACAACAACTTTGAGCGCATTCAATAAAATGATTAGGACTTTCCAGACACCAGCGAAATTGAAACAAATCCTAAGTTTATAAATGGATGACGATAGATTGTTTGATGAACATCGGATCACATTTGAAACACGAAGAGCATGGGAATAATTTGTCGAAGATGAATAACTTATCTCTGCGTTTTATTTGCATTGTACCGCGAAAACTTCTCTGGGTAATAATCTACACCTATTCGCCGATCTCATTTCTTTTTCATGTGATCACCGAGCGATCGATAACAGATATTTTCTCTGCGCGCGATTGTCTAGAATTCATGAACCAACTCTCTTCCAATTCTGATGGTCTCAATTACTCGTAATTTGAGATAAAAACCCATAATTGCAGAGCTGTTGTAAAGGGCGTTTGGATTGCGTTTACTGCCTTTTATTCTTAACGAAACCATAGCCTGAGTTCAAAAATTCCTTTCTGGCAATCACTATACAATCATCGTTCCTCGCAAAGATTTTCCACGAAATTCTGATTTGACTGTATGGAAAATGTTGTAATACTAATTATGTGTAAACTTCCTCATAATTTTATGCATTATAATTTCCTGTTTGGCCACGGATAAGCTAATATCTTGAGGTGACAAATTGCACCTTACAAGCTAAAATATTATCCCCATATAACGCAGACTGCGCAAAACAAAAAGGTGCCTAATAAATGATCCGCAAGAAGGAACGGGCTGAGGCTTCTTCTCCTATAATGGTATGGCCGCATCCGTATCCGGATTTGCCTGTCACTGTGAAGTCCATGGGGACAGTCACAGGACGCCTGCGCCTACAAAGGGGACCACGGCTGGCTTGCGCTGCACCACCCACAATTCCACCCACACCACCCATATCCAATGTAAACCCGAAGGAATAAGCCCGGGAGGCATGTGAATGGGAGCCACGTTTCATCAAAGTATCCAGCCCACACTCCTTCAACAAGCAGAACAGAAGCATTCCGGCTAAATTGGAAAATCATACACACCAGACGTACACGAGGCGGTGGCTGGACCGTAGACCGTTCCACACAGGGCGGAACCACTCATTAAGCCTAGCACCGTCAAGAGGAGGGTGCACCACGTCCCCTCCAGCAACGACTAACTGTCTCCTGGAGCCAGTATGGACGAGGTAGTGGGTAATAGACAGGTAGCCACCTTGTCAACATTCACATCAAGTGTATCCACACCGGGGAGCTCAAACAACATATACTTCTGAAATGAAAGATTACTCAGCACGCAAGCAAACCTACCACATATGCTGCCTTATTAGCCTGGATTAGTAAATCAATTGGGAGCGTACGCATCATACTTCTATTTCTCGTGCAATAATACCTTCTCCTGCACCTGAGCAACCGCCCTTATAATCAGTCCACGGAATTCGTATTGATCAAAATTTGTCTTGGATTCCCAACAACTGAAATCAACATGAGTTTGTCATAAACTCACCTTCTTCATGTTCTGGTAATGTTATTTTCGGTTTGCTCGAGTACCGTTTCCGTGCACTAGGTTAGCCGTACAAAAACGGTATGATTATTCTTGTCGAATTCTTTCTGTGTAGATATATACATAGATTGGCGTCATCCGTATCCACTGGCAGTTCGAATAAACATATGCACATGCATTTATCCAAACTTAAGTGTGAGCAGCTGTCACAAACTGGATAGAGACACATTAGACATCATTATCAATGGTACGACAAACGTGTATGGGTTTCGTTTGGAGGCCAGACTAACAACCACTTTCGCACGTATGAGAATAACTACCCAGTACGAACTGTTGACGTTTAGATGTCACAGCCTTAAATCTTGGGCATCCATATTTGAAGGAATTTGATGTAGCAAAAGTGAAGCAACTGCTAGGTAGGATGATAACTAAACTACTGCTCCAGTGAAATCGTGTGCACTTAGGTGTTGGCCTCTACACGTCCAGTCTAGTTTGCCCATAATATATCCATATAAACAGCGCAAGCAAAATTTGACGTACAGAGGATGATTTACTTGCCATTTTGCTACACCATTATACTGCTAATTGAAGTATGGAAGTGCGGATGAAACCCATCGAGGAAATGTGATGCACGGAAGCAATTCCCTTGGGGACCGTTCTATGAATGTCCGTGTTACTTTACTTGAACCTTCGGTTAAATCCTATATTTGTTATTGTTCCCGGTTTCTTAATCGTTCTACTAACTTCAAACTGCCAATCACTAGTAAACCTCCTTTGGGATTCGTTATACAATAGGTACACAATTAATTATTTTACGCGGTCACGTTGTACAGATTGATCAGACCACGCAATTACACGGTGCCTCTCACCGTCGAGCAATGTACCATTTGTTTGTTTTGCTGTCTGTTTGCTTGTTTGGGTTGATGGACACTGCATTCGGGAGCATATCCCAAATGATTTAGGCATTAGTCTTGTAAGATGGCGGTTTTGTTTTACGTTGCGGGGGAGGATATAGTTGGTAAATTCTCGACTAATTGAGCCATGGCCCAGCTAAGCTGGTCTGATAATAAGGTACAAGGTACAAAAACACTTGTGATTCCATTTCCATTGATACTTGCGGTATTGATTTCGTTTCAAAATTCATCGGAATCCAAAACACTTGCAAGACGTTCTCTGATAACTTTAGGCGGGTGGTTGGAAAAAGAAATCACAATAACCCCGTTTAAGGAGGTGAGTGGCAATAGGTACATAGAAAATATAATATAATATATAATAATATTAATATAATAATAATATATAATATAATATAACACTGATATATAACACTAATTTATAAATGCTGACGTGTGTGAGCAAACCTAATAACATGACAAATGGTCAAACTGAGAACTGCATCCATCATGAACCCAAAATCCGTTGGAATAAATGAGGTACCTCACACACTAGATAATATGTGATAATACAGGGCAAATGGAAGTGCTTACATCAATTTGCTAGGTTAGTAGTCTCTATCAACAATTCACCCTTTCAGTAGGTCCAAGTCTTGCAGACACTCATGCATTTCACCTAGCTGTGCAATAGGAAGGAAGCGCTATATGAAGGCTAAGGAAAATGCTTGTTTATCCAACCCACAATTTTGCGCATGTTTTGCAAATGCCATCAATGGATTTTTAAGTCAAATAAGAGCACAGTAAGAAGCAGTGTAGAGGAAGAGAAAATCGGAGATAAACTCCATCTGTTCAACTCATCGATGTGCCCATGTTTTCATAAATCACCAACGGGCGGTCGATTTGATTAACAAGAAGAATGTAATAATATAGACTAAGAAAAAATCAGAGGAAGGTCTCCTTTATCTAAACTATCGATGCACCAATGTTTTCGTAGGCCACGGGTGGGTCTTTAATTGGTGTACTACCGAAGAATGTGACAAAGTAGAAGGAAAGAATGAATGGCAAATGTAAGTTATCGAACAAGTAGGACCATGATAAGGGAACAATCTATTTCACGTTGTGTCGACAAACTCTTCTCGCCATCTTTATCTGTACTTTTATATTGCGAATTCCGCAAGTGGTAGGTATTTTCAGGCCCGTTCTCATACGCCCATTCCTCTGTGCAACGGACATGAAACAGTTCTTTAACTTTATTAAAAGTTGTGTATTCTTTTAGTTGCCTCTGAAATGTTCCGAGCGAAGATGTACTTTTGATGGCTTGAGGCAATCTAGTACACAGCGTGGGATATCTGTGTGTAAAGGTGTTGTACCGTAGACGGGTGTGGCAACGAGGTAGTTTTATCATATAATTTTTCTTTCTTAGGCCATGCGATGAAAATTCTTGGAATACCGTCGACTAGTAACTAGTGAATGCCAGTCGATGAACCATCTTGAATAATAGGCTTGAATTCAGCCCTAATCTTCGAAGCCATAGCAGTTAGATTTCTAACAAGTGAGCTTAGAGGTACATCGCAGGATTC